CAGAAGCATGCCTTATCACCTGAACTCGCACATTTTTGAAAACACAAACCTTGATGCTTTTAGGGAAAAGCCTACGGCAATGAGGCCGTTAAGCGTGAGGGTTACGGAGCTGCTACAAAAGTATCAAATTTCGCTACCAGCTCCATTTGCTTGTAGCCCCAGCTTTTACCCTCCATGGATGACCTGAAATAAAAATAAACCTACAGTTGAAGGCAACATTGGAAAGTTGTTATGAGCTCTTCACGGATCATCTGGAAAAGATTCTTAACAGACCGAATGCCTATGTAACATACCTCGAATTGTTTAAATGCAAAACTGTAAAAACGTTTCAACGGAGCTACCAAAGCATCAAAGAGAAAGAAAGAAATCACTCCAAAGATAATGTGGTAAAGCCAAAACACTAATCCCTTAAGCAGGTATGACACGAAGTCAGAAAGTAATGGCGTACCACAAGAAAGAATTGCGTCCAATCAACTCGACGGCAGAAACTTCACAATATACCAACCTTGGAAGAGAACTACATCTGCACGTAATCAGAAAAAAAAGAGGGGATACAATTAAGTGCAGAAAGGTACAAAGCGTGCACTCTAGCAATAAGACAAAGAAGTAAGTAAAAGAACTCTCTAACGCTAAGATAGCCCCTAACCGTAAAAGAAAGAACTCTGTAAAAGAACTCTATAAAAGCGGAAATGTAAAACTAAGATAATGAAATCTACTGCAGAAATTACATCTAAACTAGTGGACAAAGACCAAAGTAAACAATTAGAGGAATAGAAGTCAAGTAAAATGTCGCATTTTAAATAAGAGCATCAAAAATTACTTATACGGAATTTAAATCGGTAATATCAATTGGTGAGAAAATAACGTTACAAAGTCCTTTCATTTACATTCAATTTGTAATTATTTCATTTCTAGTACATTAGCCGTATCGGTCACTAAAGCAAGATTTAGAATCAATTTACTTTATTTGTATTTTTAATCGATAAACACGTTAATCATTCGTGTCGATATTCTTTCAACGTCCATCTTATACAAAGGCATAGTAAGCAATTACATTACATATACAGTTCAAATTCATTTTTGTGCGATAGATTTCATGGAAATTGGGAGTTATATATTATAAGACTGGCGCTAAAAATCTTGCACAGTAGCTAATTACCAATATTCATAAAAATGAACGTCGACGATTTTTTCAATGATCCATTCAAAATGCTAACTTGAAAGTTATATTGTTATATTCTACACACGTATTTTAAATGGACTATAATCTGAGATAATAAATAACACTTCTCAGTCGCCCCCCGTTTGTCCTAAAACGATATATGTAGCAAACTCACATACGTCGATGGTGTGGAAACGCACTTTCTTTTTAATTAATCCGTGCTTTATCGGGCATTTAATATTGTTTCCATCGGAAATACAAAAACCCCGTAATCCCCATTCTACGAGGATTCAAAGGGTTACAGTTTCGAACAAACGTCAATTTCTGTTCAAAGGAAAAACCAAATCCCTGCTACACAAAATTGCAATATTTGAGGGATCCTTTTTTTTAGAATATCGTTAAGTAGTAAATTAAGTACATTCCACGTATAGAACCTTTATCTCTATGAGCATCTTCTCAAATGAGTTTTCTTTGTATAGCAGTTTCCAGTACTAATTGGAGTTATGAAACAAAAATAAGTATACCAATGAGATTTATTCAAGAACTCCGCTGTTGGTCGCCACCATTGTTCTTCAACTTCGTGCCACCTTTAGAAAATAGTCTTTTACATCTACATAACAAAATAGGTTTGTATTGCAACATGTACTAAATCTACAATTACGCCTTCATTATCTCACGTATTTCATATAAGCAATATGTAGTAAAAAAATAATGGGTGCTCCAATACGAAATTTTTAAGTGTGCTCTTACTGCTAAAGAAGTTGTCTCTGTATTAAACTCGTATTCAACAAGTGTTGCAGAACAAAGTTTATAAAAGTCACATTCCAGTTTCGTATCTGTTAATTTGTGTTTTTCCACTCGCATAAGTAGGATAGTAATCTAATAAGAAATATAATTCATTTGTTTCAATATCGAAATTAATTACGGCCGTAATTAATTTAAGTACCATCCCAGATAGATTGCACTTCCTGCAATATTAAATTGACCAAGATTGCAAGGACGTGATTTTAGCAATTAAACAATTGCTGAAGCTGTTGAGAATCGTGTTCTCAATTATAAGACTAATTGCGGGGGATTAACGCTGCACCTTAATGCACTAAGGATAATTAAGATCTTAAGATTAAAGTGTATCTCAAGTTTAATGAATAGAATATTATCGACGCTATACTTTACAAGTCTAGATGAAGGCAAACAATATATACATATACCTACCCACGATAACAGCTTTTTACGAAATTCGCAAATGATCTCATATGTATCTCCACATCCCGCACCGCGAGTTGCGGGTAATGAATTTTCACATGTAATACCACTAGTGCTTGAATTATTTCCGGAAATTTGTTCGAGCTCACGAATATTTTGAAAATTAACCCGAGCCGAAGGCGAGGGTTAATTTTCGTAAAAATATTCGTGAGCAAGAACAAATTTGTAGAATAATTCAACCACGTGTGGTATTCGGTAAGAAAATTTCACACCATATTGAACCTCAACGACTTATTTGAAGATTTGTTCTCTTTTTGAAAGTAGATCAAGATAGCCTTTCGATGACATTTTACAGATTTGAATTGAAAATGCCGTTGACAGTAAGTTTATTGTGAGCGTGAACGAAATTATTAGATTCGGTCAAGAAAATAAGGAAGTTATTCGTAGCGAAATTCAGCACCTAACGCCCCAGAATACTAAGGAATCTAAGTCAAGTGTTTGGAAGCAGTTTACTGACTTTTGCTCTGAAAAAAGTTATGTGTTATGATAGGGAAAACATATTTGTAGAGGAATTGGCAATGATTATGGAAGATTATGGATTTAATATCTACCCAAATGTGTTTATTTCTGCTAGAATACTTTTTTATAACGCGGGTAAGTGACGTTTTATGTCAAAACGTTCTCTTATGACGTCAAAAAATTTCCACTATAATTCGCTGTAGGTTACCCCTGCAGGCAAAAATTTCCGATAAATACCTCGGTTACCATGATAACGTGAGACGAAATCTGCATTTCATTGGTCGAAAATTGTTGGTGTGAAATTTTCATTTAAATTATTTTTTAAATTTGTATGACAGATACCGCTGTTCACAATTGTAAAATTGTTAAAATTGTAATTTGGGCACGAATAAAAAGAACTCTGACCCGCTTGTTACTGACCGGCCGATTCCGCATGTTCGGATGCTGCAGTAGGTAAAGAATAATTTGCTATAAATCTGAATCTTACATTGAAACATGAAATTACATTTCGGTCCTCTAAACTGTCGTTATGTACACGTACAGTACAGGGATTCTTTTTAATGTATACATATGCGCTATGTATACTTGAAAAGGGGTCCAAACGCATAGAATAGATAGCTATAATAGGTAACCAACTCTACACGAATTTGTTTTAAATTTTAAAGGATAATCTGCGTATGGTATGGAAACAGTACCTAACTTGATTATTTAATGTCAAATTAGGGTTAGCTATTAGTCTTTATTTTTATGATTAGCATTTTAAGATCTGTGAAAACAGCTCCAGTAATCCCCATACCGGGGGCCACGTTTCTTAGTAGCTTCAATAAAATTTAATGCAATTTCTTTAAAATAAGCAATTGTTATCTGTATAATTGTATACAAATATCAAGAAAGTCTACTGTACCTTACATTTAGCGCTCTGTGGACGCGATGGTTTCGATCTAGGTATTATGCTCTTTTGAACTAATCTTCAGTGCCAAGTAGTGGGGTGACAGTCTCACTTATTTTGATAAGTGCTATCCCTGAAATTCTGCGTGACATTTCAACATTTTATACTTTTATGTGGGTCACACTGTGCAACCAGGTGAGTTACGCCGCAGTATATTTCCTAAAAGGTCTAAATTGCATACTACAGGTGTTCTTCCAAATTGAAAGAACCAACCTATTCATCTTCTCTGCGGTGTATTGAACATGAAAAGAATCTAGGAATTGAAGCTGGACATCAGTTTACAAACATTTTTAACTAAAATTATTTTGCATTATATTTGAACAAGCGTTTCGGGCCGAAAATAATTTTAGCAAGTCTTTACAGCCGTCAATGATTTCGTTGGACGAGTCAAGTTAGTTGAATGTTGGAAAAGATTTGCGTCAATCTAAAAAAGAAAAGTAATCAAAATTGGTTAGAGATAACCGCTAAGGCAATCGCGTAAGCGAAGTTAAGCACTTGTAAATTATCGGAGAGTGTGCTTTATTTTGTAAACAGAGAGACAGGGTTAATCCAAGGATGCTATTTAGGTTCCCCAGGAGAGAATGCCGGTCACAAAACACTTGATAACCGTTCTACAAGCGTATGTTGTTCATAGTAGACCATGCGATTGTAAACCGGCATCAGGTGTTCTGTGACTGGCATTCTCTCCTGGCGACCAAAAATGAGTTGCTGTCGAGTCGCCTTTGGAATTTTTGTTTACATGGGAAATCGTACTTAACTTGAACTTCCAAAGGCCACTCGACAGCAACCCATTTTTGATCGTCCGTTATAGGATTGCCAGATCACGGTGTATTTCGCCACGTATAATGCGGGCTTGTGACGTCACTTGCGGTTGCGGACTGGGCCGCATGCTTTGGATTTTATGGTCCTTACCATGGTATAATAAAAAGTCCTGACCATGGTATTTGGTCCTTACGTATGAAATCATCGGTTTTAGGAAAGTTATGTTGAGTTGAACGAGACACGTTGGAATAACTGAACTACTACTAATAACAAAATGGGTACGTGTAAATGAACCGTGAGAAATAGCTATTTATGCACCAAGGGCGTTACTAGGATGATTACGCCCGGAGAACGATGGAATCCAGCTCGAGGGCTTTAGCCCGAGAGCTGGATATCGTTCGATGGGCGTAATCATCTGGTAACGTCGCCGTGGTGCATACAAGATTTTATTTTTCACTTTATTCTTAAAAAACAATCCAAAATTAGTTACTTGCTTTCGCTGAGGCAAACGCGTTCTTTCCGTAAATACAATACAATAATATGGTAGTCTATGAAACAAAATAAACTGTTTACTTAGAAACGTCAAGTTTGATTTCCAATTGCAATAAAGATGAATACGCTACCAAAATTTGTTCAAGAAAATGCGCAAAAGGCAACAGAAACTTTGCTACCCCTTAAATCAAAGGAGAAGTACGAAAAAGAATTCGAAACATTTACAGCTTGGCAATCAAAACATAAAATATTTACTATAAATGAGACCGTGCTATTGTCGTACTTTCAGGAACTGGTAAGTTTTACATATACCTACCTAAATATGCAAAATTATTGATTGTTTTAGTCTGAGAAATACACTCCTACGTCGCTATGGACCAAATACTCTCTTTTGAAATCAACTTTCATAGTTAAAAAGAAAACTGACATTTCAAATTATAATCAACTAATTTACTTTTTAAAAGTCAAATCGAAGGGATATAAACCAAAAAAATCACAGGTTTTAACAGGAGATCAAGTTTTTGAGTTTATCAAACGTGCCCCTAACGATATTTATCTTTTGCATAAAGTAGTTTTGGTGATGGGTGTTTTTGGTGGATTACGAAGGGATGAAATGGTCAAAATGTGTATTGACGATATCACCGATAAAGGATCTGTTGTAATTGTAAACGTGCCAGAGACTAAAACAGGTACGTCTAAAGGTTTTACAATCGTGGAGGAAGAAGAAATAAATGCTCTTAAGTTAGTTCGACAATACCTAGCACTAAGACCAAAGCATACGAAAGAACGCCGATTTTTCCTCACATATAGGAAAGGTTGTTGCACAGTGCAACCTGTCGGAAAAAACACCATAGGAAGTGTCCCAAATATAATTGCCAAATACTTAAAGTTAGATAACCCTCATCAATTTACCGGTCACTGCTTGAGACGAACGTCAGCCACTCTTTTGGTTGAAGCAGGAGCAAGTTTTGAAACCCTGAAAATGCACGGCAAGTGGAAGAGTAACACGGTTGCGCAGAGTTACGTAGAAGATAGCCTCATTTCCAAAAATCGGATATCTTGCATTATTGCAAGCGCGGTGGGTTCATCTGGAGGCAAAACCTCGAATAATGTTAACCTTACATCATATTCAGATGATCACTTGGAACTGTCGTCATCCATATCGGATAAAAATATAAACGTCCCTGGCCTTTCTAACAAAAATATTACATTTTCGGGAAAGTTTGAAAATTGTAATTTTCATATTGGCGGGTAATTGTGCTTTCTTTTGTATTACAAGTATTTAGTTTGACTTAATAAAAAAAATTGAACGAATATAATTAACCTATTTTGAGGGCGTAATGAATTCATTACGCCCTCTCATTACGCCCTGGTTGTTATGGACTTGTTTACGTATCCCGTATCCAAGGAGTTACCATTGAATTACAGTAAAGTGAAAAATAAAAGTCTATATAAAATATTTATAATAATTTCATGCACATACACGCATATGGTTCACCCACACCGTTTACCCGCTCTCTTCTCCCTGTCTGTTTGCTGTACCTCATATGCATGCGCTCATGCGCAAACCCCGGTTTTACTTCTGTCTAAAAGACTCCTCCTAATAGTTATGACATACGGCTATTATTACAGCCGGTCAGCGTCCCGGCATTGTTGTTGCAATGTACAATGGAAAAACACTTGAAACCCTTATGCACATAGAATTCTGACAGCTAGGTCCGTTGGTGACGTCACGTACGACTTAACGCTGGCAACATTACACACTGAGAAAAAAGTTAGATAGCGCTTACTGAAAATGTAATAACCATAATTAAAAACTTTAATACTATATGGGACAGATAAAAAGTTTAATTATTGTAATCAAACTTAGCTTTGTGAGTTTGATTAATTAGGGTTATATAGCAGTTCACTAAATGTGCTGGAATACACTAACCATTAATACACATAATTTAATATTTGCTTATTTACCACAATTGGATCTGAAGCTGTGGTAACTAAACTGTAGAATTGCAGTTACTAAAATGTACAATAACGGGTAACAATCTGATTAATTAAATGCCCAGTACAGTTAATACCCTCTATTTCTTTGTTCAATTAAGACAATATGTGTTGTGCTATATCATATAATACTGAGTTTCTGTGACAAGACCTTGTTTAGTTGGCTGTATTAAACTATACAATAAGGGATATTAAACTGTATAATAAGGGGTATTAGTCTTATTGCATTAGATTTATGAGCTTCTTTGTGGTTCGCACCTTTAAAATAAACACACAGTATAGCAATATGAATTTTATTGAAAAGAAATCGATTTCTATTTATAAAATTAAGAAAAAAATACAATATAGTCCCTATGTACTAAAAATGTTACATAATTCTTCCCATTACCTATACGATTAAGTACAATATGTTCATTGAATTCTATACAGGATTTCTGTATGATTTGCAACACACCGAAACACCATAATATTTTTCGTACATCTGTAACATCTGGTGGGAGATATTTATTCTGATGGAAATATTCTTGATATTTTTTTTAAATATCAAACGTGGTCAAATTTTAGTTATTAGGGAAGAGATGGTGGAATCGTCCAGTAGTCCAAAACTTTCGTCGTTTATCCATTCATCTATAAGTAATATTTCATAATAAATGGTAAATAATGTGTGTTCTTGTATCGAAGTTAGGTAAATATTGTAAAGCCAAATGCAATATAGGTAATAAAATACCTCCCACTCAATAATGTGATTATCTTATATTTGACAAAAAATAGTTAAATATATTTTTACTTCATTAGTGAAAAGGTTTGTTTTACATTGCCAAGACACCTTAGTGAGTGGGAAACAATATTTATTTAACGCTGCATATAGAAATAACACAACAAAACTTCAACCACTGCGTTTCGCGCCCGAATTTGCTATACATGCCACTTTTGCCCGTTTGCCGCTATCGACATATCAATATCTTTCACTTTCTTTATGCATTAAAAATATTAAACGTATAATACTTACCGATAAATTTTTGCGATCAACTCTCCAATCCCCAACTTTGCAATAGATCTGTAAATTCCATTAGTTATTTCACAAAGGCACTTGACACAGAATAAAACGTACGTATAACATACTATATTTCACACTTACAGGCTTGAATACTTTTGACTTGTATTCATCAGCGTCACCTACGCATATGATGACAATAATGCTATAGCCGCAGAAAAATTTCCACGTATTTTATTTTTTTAATGAGGTCTTATGTTACCATAACTAAACTAAATAATTATGCCAACACCATACATTTCTACGCCAACCAAACAGGTCTATATCGGTTATTGTAAATTGTTTAATAAGTACAGTTGAATTGTTGTTATTAATCATATTTTCACCACAATAACAACTTTAGTAACGGTTGGTATTCAGCATACATAGAGCAGAACTATGGAAACAGAAACTTTTTTTTCTTGTCGGTATTATACCATTTGTAATATAGATCGCTTAGGGCTATTAAATTATTTTTTATTATACCTGAATCACAATCTCCGTTTTAAACACTCAAATGCGTGCGAAAAAAAGGCCTTTAAAACACACGTGCTTTAAAGTTGCTAAGTAACGATACTTCAAGTATGACTTTTGAAACTGTCATCTGGATGAAATAAAAAATCATCTTAGGTCGCTTTCTGTAAATGCAGAACATTTCTTTGGCTTTTGTACCTATCCTTTGGTTGAAGCTTTCACAAACGCGCGTAATTTAGGGTATGCTTCCAAATCTGTTCCACTTTTTAATCGCAGCATTGCTTTAAAGTTTTGAATGAATGCACCAAAATATAGAAGATTTAAATACCTTTGACATTTCCTTCATATATGCCAGCATTATGGATGCATTTAAGAGTTTATTCGTAAGTAACTTCCTACTCCATCAATGGAAACAACTTTTCATATTCTTTATAATAGGTACGTGTATAATTGGTCCTTAAAGCACTTGCAACGTTAAAGGCACTCCGCTTTGCGTCGTGCCCTTAAACTCGGTGCGCGTGCTTTAAAGACTTGATTATACACTTGTATCTTAATATACTATTCGATTAAACATGTTATAATTGAACCATTTTTCTCAGTGCAAGCATAGGGATCTGGTTATCCTACATACCATCCTTGGTACCTGTAATTTAGCGCTGGATGACTATTGTTTTTTGGGACACCTGTAAATTACTGAGGGGTGGATATAATTTTCTTAGCTAATTTGCGTTGACAAGGAAATTAGCGCAGGTTTTTAATAATGGGTTGGAACAAAGCCTGTCAATCTCAGAGAAACCATAAGCGTCTACCCCCAAACAAGAAGAAATAATGTTTGCAGGATGAATGCGCACTCGTTCTTTTTCAAATATTCTAAGCGTAATAATTCGGAAATTTCAGTGACGCAGTAATAAATATTTTATGGTTCGTGAAAAGTTATGTGATAATATGCAGAATTGTAGTGTATTTGTTAGGGTGAAGATAATTATTCATAATCGCTCGTCAATGTGATAAATTTTTATTTATTTATTGTCTCTCTTGTTCTAGACCCAATTACCGAGTGACCCGCATAATGCTTTTTAGAGGTGTCCCTGTAGAACGTCTTAAGTTGTTCTATACTACCTTACGAATTAGGAAATTTCCATCTCTGCCACAGATGAAAAATTTCTATATCAGCCCAGGTTCGAACACCCGACCTCCGGTTTTGTAGTCCAACGCTCCACCACTGAAACTACAAAGCCGAGCTGCTATTCATGTATCTAAGAAACGGGTGCTGGTCATTTCCCTTCCCTCAATTATATTCACATTGACCGGTTATGAATAATCGCGGCATTTATTACTTTAACGGTAGCATATTTACAATAAAATTCGCCATTCCAAATAACAGTGAGACCTCTGGTGGCAGTACATTGCAAAAATACAGTTAGGAGAAGACCGCCATTTTGATAGCGTTTCTTTATTTACACTACACTTACGCAAACACAAATAAGCTATCCTTAGAAAGTTGTTTTAGTAGATCTTTCCAAACGTTTTAATTGTCACCAGTGGAATTATGCAACCAACAACAACAATATGGATCATTTATGGCATCATCGTCGAACGTATAATATCTCCAAGTACCCCAGCGGCACACCAAATTATTACAATCTTCTTCATCGCTATTATCTTCACAGTCATTTTCGCCACCACACTGTAACTGAGCGTCAATACAATGCCCACTACGGCAACGGTATTGATGAGCGGCGCACTTGCCGAAGCTGCGACACGCGAGAGGATCTTCGTCACTATTATCGCCGCACTGATCATGACCGTCGCACACTGCACTTATCGGGACGCATCGATGATTCCGTCTTCGCAATCATTCTGGCCTTCATATAAGCTGTGGTGCATAAAAGGAACGGACAGTCTGCACCATCAACACACCTAATTAAATATCAATTTTACATTACAAGACGCCCATATTGTCAATTAAGGTTTACTTTTTTAAATCGCCTAGGTTGATATCTACCGTTACACTTGGATGTCGGATAGACCTATATTCTGTTGTTTTAACTAAGAAGACCAATTATTTTGTGAAAACTACAGAAAGTATACGTTTTGTTTGAATTCAGCACCTACAGTAATGCTGGGTCACCATGCATGTGTCGAATTTCAATTATTTTTGAGCGTAAATGTGGTCGTTTTTTGGATTAAACGCAAACTCGATCATATTAGTTGAATTCGAGGTCAATTTGCTTTGTATCGGAATTATTTCATTTTGTTAGTTTTGTTTAAATAATCGCTTTGTTTATTATGTTGAAAAGTTTGTTTTGCGAGTTAAAAGATTAAGTTTATTGTTATTGTAAAAGTTATCTCCTGTCTTTGCGATAAGAGTCCTTATCTCTCCGTAAGCTAATTGGTTTCATAAGAATGTGTTACCGCCGAGTTGAGCATATGTTCGTTTTGACGATGCATTAATTTGTTACGGAGGTGGAAGCGGAAGTGGAAAGAAATGGAAAAGGTTTTTAATTATCGAACCGGACGTCAATTGGTGGACGTTTAAACGTAGCCGTTTGTTTTGGCGTACTCTCGTAATTGAGCTAATTTAAAAAGATCTTATTGTGGAGGAAAGCTAGAAAGTGTTTAAAGAATTTTCTTTACGTCGTGATAAAAGAGAACGCCAAGTCGAGTTAAGCGGAAGCGTGTTTTCCTGTTTACAAAGAAGTTTAGTCGGGGTACTAATATATTAACGAGCGTTTGTCGCTGAAGAGAAGTCTTTCTGTAAGGTCTTTAAGTTAACAGTTGAAGGGAGTTTTCCACCATCAAACTAAACTTGTAACTAAAACGAGGTATGTTAAAACGCGGTCTAGTCTCGCGCACAGGT